GGGGGGGGGGGGGGGAGAGGAGGAAAGAAGAGCGCGGGATGGGGGAGGGGACAAAAATTGAAGCGACGCGCGGATTTACGCGGCGCGTTACCCTAATGAAAATCGCGAAGGATGAACTTGCGCGCGCGTGGCGGCGGCGGTGGCGGCAGCGACGGAGGCGGTGGCGGTGGTGGTGACGGAAAGAAATGGGAGGAGGCGGTCGGGAATACACGAGGGTGGAATTAGAATATCAGAGACACGGTGGCGGAGTGTGTGTATGTATACCGTGCTGCGCACCAACACTCCCTCGCCCTCGCTCACGTCTACGGCTTGCACGTATATAATACTTGTCGGTGGTTGACAAACCCTCGACATCAATTTCTCTCTCTGTCTCTGTAATTCTCCTGCTCGTCCCTCTGCCCGTGTCCGTTCCCGTCTCTCTCTTTCTCCCATCTCTCTTCTCTTTCTCTCTGTGTATCTCTCCCCATCCCCTCCCTCCTCTCTCTCTCTGTCTCTCTGCGTCTGTCTCTTTCCCACTCGCTTTTCCCTCGACGAGCCTTGCTTCTCTCGCTCCCGCTCGCCCCCACCTCTACCCCTTCTCCATCACCTCCTCCTCTACCTCCTGCTGCCACCCCCTGCCTCTCGGCCCCTTCTCTATCTCTCTCTTCGTTTACTTTGGAGATATCGATTACCGGCTCAACTCCCAACCCCCATCAACCCCTCTGTCACCTCCGACCCCCCTTATCCACTCCCTCTAGCACCCCCGACTCCCTTCCACTCGGCCCAGCTTGCTGCTTGGTTGCTTGCACGGTGTCACATCGGTGTAGCAGTTTACAGAGACAGTATAGTTCGCGACAATTACGATCGGCCGTACAGCAGGCGGCGGTGTAGGACCTCGGGAATCGAGGATACCCCCGTTTACAGCGACAACATCGATCTACCAGCCAAGCGCGGTTCGTTTTCCGGCCAGTTATTAATTCGCGCGTACAAAGACGTGCCGAAATCGCGACGTAAACGCGAAGCGCTTACGTAAAACGAGCTTCTCGTTCTCGTTCTCTCTCTCTCTCTCTCTCTTTTTCACTCCCGTCCCCTTTTCCTCTCTCTCCCTGCGCACAAAACGAAGAAGCACCAGCGGCGCTTCGCGTCCGCTTCACGAGCGCGGATTTGCATTTCTTAGGTAATTTGCATTAACCGCGCAAATCCGAACTACCTGGTGTTAGAATACCGCGCGAATTTCAGCAACTTGCTCTCTCCTGCAAAGTTAACGGGGAGGAGTATCAAAAATTACGACCGCGTATCTCTCCGCAATTAACTGCAACAATGAGGGACCGCTGAATAATGAAGTACTTCGAAATTGGCAATTAGCGGAATATTACTCGTCAACTTTGGTCGTACTTTCGCCCGTTTTGGTCGCGAGTACAAATCTCGATACAACGTGTTACATACGCCTCTCGTCCCCTCTCGCCCCCTCTCTCGCCACCGCCACCGTGTTTATTCGCAAATAATGGAAATGCAACGACGTTGGCAATGGGGTATTCCTTTCTATCTACCATAGCGCACACGCATACACACACCGAGTGTGCTTAAACCCGTTGAGATTATACCCGGCTTCAATTTCTGATTTCTACAAACGCCCCCGCTGCTACTGGGATTTCGAAAATCAAGCGAGTAAACTGCAAAATGTGCCTCCAAGCTCCGCCGGAATTTGTGTCTACGATCGAGTATAACGGGGTTATTGACCCACGAATCCGTGCCGTTCGCTTTCGTATCTCGAAAGCGGTTTGCAGAAATGCATAAGCCGCGCCCGCGGAAGCGCATTCTCGCGCGGCGCTGAATTTGTATCGGGACAAAAGCGAAACTCCTTGATTTTTGCTCCCATTTTTGGTTCCGACTGCTGTTTCTCTACCTTTCTCTCTCTTTCTCCCTCCCTACCCCGTGAGTTTGATTTGCCACGGAGGATGCGAGAGGACGAGGAACGCGGAATATTCCAAAGGACATTTTTATGCAACTTGTGGGAGGCGACGTCCACGACGATGTTGTCGCGCGATTCCGCGAAACCGCGGGATTTCCGCGACAGAACAATGACCAAAGAAAAAGGAGAAAAGAAGGTATTCGCGTATCGGGTCTTATTTCGCTTTTGACACACGCGTCTCTCTCTCTCTCTCTCTCTTGTGAGTTTTATTCACCGCGGAGGAGACACGGAGCGCGGAATATTCCGCGAGAAATTTTTACGCAACTTCGAAGATGACACCCATGACGACGTCGTCGCGCAATTCCGCGAGATTTCCACTACCGGGAAAATGACCGGAGAGGAGGAAGAAGAGATTCACGCGTGTTGGGATTTATTTCACTCTCGGATCCTATGCGCGCGCGTTTTCTACGTACGATTTAGATGCATTCGATCGCCTCGCACACTCCGACCTGCGTGCCGACTTTTTATACCGTCTCGACTCGCGACCAATGATAGAAACTTTGACTCCCGAGCAGCACGCATCACCGTGTCTGTGAGCTTCACGGATACGGTCGCGTGAGTGGCTGCGTATCCCCTCCCATGCTGATGCGTGCTGCTCGAGAGTCAAAGTTTCTATCACTGCTCGTGACGAAACGGCCGAGCGAATATTTCATTCGGCTCATTCAATTTCCGGTATCAACGCGCCGCGTCTACTGTATCGCCTTTGGAACGCGAAGCTAACGAGCAATGTGAATCGTGAAATCTGAAATAATTCCAATCTGAAATAATTATCTACACTTGGAGTGTTAAGTAGCGAGTGTGTATAGAATATTACTTCCCGACGCCGGTGTCGCGGAATAAGAAACGAAAAGGAGACGATAACAAGAGGAGAAACACCGTCTCTTGCGAAGAAATATCATGATCATCACAATTACTTCGATTTTGAATCTAAAAGATACCAATGCCTGAAAGCGTACTTAATCCTGCACATTCTTATTGTTTTGACCCTTAGGTGCGAATATTTAAATATGAAATTTGAAAAAGTATATATTACTTAATTATTATTCGCATCTTTTTAAGAAATACAAATATTCAACATAGAATAGATGTGTATACATATTTTACTCTTCTCAATATATGTATATACCAATTAAAAAAAAAACTTAAGAAATATTTATTTGCTAGGTATTGGCTTACTTATATAATATATATATATATATATATATATATATATATATATATATATATATATATATATATAGTATATAAAATATTTATTAAATAAGAAAATGCACATTGGCAATTGTTTATTGAAATAAAAGAATTCAGACCTAAATAAATACGTCACCGAGTAGGTATTAGGTCTACTCTTCAGACATTATTCTCTCTCTTTTTTTCTCTTAGTATGCATGTTCCATGTTGAACGTTTAAATATTCGCATTTAACGACCGAAAAAATCAGAATGCCTAGATCTGTGCCCAAGCATCGGTACTTCTATTTTACCGTACCTCGCCGCACGTAAATTCCGCCGAGTCTCGCGCTGTGTCGCGCGCGCGGAGAAAATCTATATATCGCAGTAATGACAATAATAACATCTACCCGCCGCGGCGGCGAAGCGGGCCGAGCGAAGAGGACAACGCGAAACGGATAGTCGGCGAATACTTTGGGCCATGTTAGTACTGCACTTTAATATAGGTAAGTCCAAGTTAAGCTCCTTACCGATGACGATACGATTAGTACGGTTGGCCGGACTAATTGCCTTCGCGCTGATGGAACTAAATCGAAGAGCCGGCAATATGAGGCGGGAATAATATCGATCGTTTTTGCCCTCTCTCGCCCACCTCGCTGCCACCTCCCTCCCCCTCGCCCCGTCGCCGCCCCGGACGATTGGCTCTCGCGCGCTACGCTCGCACAATTCCTCTCGTTTACATAATATCCGGTTCCTCGATGCTCGCGTTATCGATAAACACCGGGCGCTGTATGTGTGTGCTCTCGCGTCGCCAATAAGAGAACGCGACGAGAGGAGCGGGGGGGACGACAACGACGACGAAGAGACTCGTGAGGGAGCTCCCCTTTCTTCGTTTTCGCGATGCACGCGAAACCGATAATCGAATTTCGATCTTATTTTTAACGAGACCGTTGCATCTTTCAGAAGCCGCGCCGCGAACGTCGGATTAAATAATCGCCCGCGAGAAAATCGACGACGGCGGCGGTGCACCCGTCTATTTTCGCAAGCGCGAATTTTTCGCCACGACGTTTTCTCCGGATTCCGTGCGCGCTCGACGTCGCGCCCCTGCGCGACTTGGCGCGAGAATCGACGACGAGGGTATGGCGCGCACACGTGTATACACACACAGCTGCATCGATATACCGTCGGCACATTCTTCGCGATCGACGGGGGAAACGAATTGTCGTCCGAGTTGTTTTCGCTCGAGCTGCGCCGAGAGCTCGCGCGAGGTAAGACATAATAAGACTTAATCAAAGTGGAAAGACAGGAAAGGGAACTTACAAAGTGCCTTACCATAACGTAATGCCTTTGCATCTCGGTTTTCTCGTTGGCCAACTTCTCGCACTCCATCTTCAGTCTGTGAAAAGTAAAAAGGCGGTTGAGATCAGTGCAGATCAGTAAAGCGGTCGGAGATTACGGCCGCCGTTTGGGCAGATAAAACATATATACTAATTGCGAACGCGTGTTAAACGCGCCGGCAAGCCCGGTGTTTGAGGACAAACAGGAAAACGCGCATGTGAGACGAGCATGTCAACGAGCACGAATCCACCGTCCACAATCGCGACAGTCGTCGTCGAGGACAGCACACGACGACGAAACGAAGAATCGACTCGGAGCCGATAGTCGCGAAAAGTCGGAGAAACACGATAACGTAAACGGAAATAACAAGGCAGAGGGTAAAGAGAGACAGAAATCCAAGAACGACAGTGGCACGAAGGGGATAAGAGGGACCGGAGGAGGGGAGAGGAGAGGAGAAAAGTACGAAGAACGTGCGGGCGAGAGAGAAAGAGAAGAGAGACAGAGATACTCACGTGTGGTACTGCGATTGGATGAAACTGAACTCCTCTTTGATCCGGTCGCAAGTGTCCGCCACCGTGAATTTCAGTCCGCCCGCAGCCCCGCCGCTACCGCCGCCACCCTGCAAGAAAAAGAGGAAATCGAAGGGATTCGATTAGCTATGTACGACAATGCGGACGCGGCGAGCAGAGGGACGCGGGAGGATACCGCTGGATGGAAGAGGAGAAGGATAGGAGAGAGAGAGAGAGAGAAAGAGACTGAGCGAGAGAAAAGGGAGGGAAGGAAGATACGCGCGATGCGGAATCGTGCGTGGGCGTTAAAACCACGCGCGCGGAACATCTCGTCTCGCGACGAATAAGCCGCATCCGCGACAAGCAGCCTGCCACTTTGTGGCATTGCGTTTAATCCTTATAGCTCCGGGCCACCAGTCGTCCACGTGCGGATCCCGTCGCTATTAATACGAGTAAATGGAGCAATCGTATCAGCGCTCGCTCGCTCGCTCGCTCGCTACGTGTGCCATCAGAGGCTGCCTGGCTGGTTGGTTGGCTGCCTGCCTGCCTGACTCGCTCGTTCGAACATTCGACGCGTAATGCGCGGGGATGCGTTCTTCATTAACGAAAATATCAACGGCACTTCCTCCGGACGAATTCATCAAATTAATTTGATTGGACGTTACAAGCGCGCGTTTCTGTCCTCCTGCAAATTAATTCCGGCGCGTGAGCGCGTCACGTTTCGGAGAGCACGTGTCGAAGATCACGTTGACCGTTCGTTAATTTTTCATTCGTGGAAAAGATCTCGGGAGTGTACACTGAGCAGTTTATCCCGAGCGAAAGGAATAAGACTGCGTCTCGTAAGGTTCACGCCGTGAGAAATTCCTCTCTTTCTCTCTCTTTCTTTCTCTCTTTGTCCGTCTCGCGCTGGATCGGCTCAATTATTTAAGTTACGTTCGCTGACGGCGCAACAATGTCCGATATCGACTGTGCAATGCACAACGCACAGTGTTCACGGGCTGAAGGGTTAAAAACGCGATGCGCACAGCAGAAAAGGCGCGGGCGCGCGCGAAACTGTGAGAGAGAGAGAGAGAGAGAGAGAGAGAGAGAGAGAGAGAGAGAGAGAGAGAGAGAGAG